CAATGTCCATGCCCATGGGAATATTTCTCTCCCTATGCTTAGGTTCAATTTAGAACCACGATATTTGTGGCTTGTCACACAAGAGACTATGGCATGTAAAGTCATAGAATTTACCCTATGGATCGAAGAAATGCAGCGGAGACTAGAGCTAGTTGCATAACAGAAGACGTGCTTGAGCATAGACGTGGTCCATGAAGCGAAAATTTGACCATGAGAATAACTCGGGATCTTAGCCCCAAGTTAATCTCACATCCAGCTTGAGAATCCTAATTTTTAAAGGCCTACTTAGCGAGGCAGGAGTATGCGCGCCATCAGAGGCTTGAGAAAGTGTGGAAAATAAGGCTACGAGTAGTACTGATAGGGTGGTAAGGGTGAAGTGAAATACATGAACCAGGAAGGCAGGAGGCAGATCCTACGGGGTAAGAGGGAGACTCTGATAACACCTATGGGAAAAGGATTGCGGGGTGAGGGGGTAAGAAATCAAGTGTGGGGTTTGGAGAGTTTACATGAAATCCGATAAAAAGGGCACACCATTCTACATTAAAATAAGAAAATGTGATAGTGAAGGTGTGATACGAGGATATATGATTGGTGAATAGCCCAGGACAGGAGATATGTCATAATTGTTTAGCAGACAATTATTTAAATGATCGGTTATACTTGTCTCTTTAACGAATTGTTGTGTGGTGCTAAGACTGGCAAAGCCACGTCTGAGGTCTGACTCTGCAAAGTATCATGAATGTTATGGACTCCGGACTAGATACGCTCCTCTAGGTCTTCCTATCAATATAACCAAGTTGCGAAAACAAGGTCAAACTACTTATATTATTTAATTTTACAAGTAGATGTTGTGGCTTCTAGTTTGGTCAATCTCCTTTAGATGTATATTAGTGGTGTGACCTCGTTTTCAAAACTTTGTCGTGTTGTCAGTGGGACCTGGTTGTACGCACCTTATCCGAAGTCCTGCTGTAGTAAATATCATAATTCCCAGTGTTGTATCATAGACTTGGTACATTCCCAGACGCTTCGCCAGCATTGTCAGCGAGTCTTGTTAAACATGGTACCAAGCACAACTATTCGGCAGAAAATTCGTCAATTCCAACGTTATGAGAATTGCTAATTCAACTTGCTTTTCGTGTTTCGAAGATATTTTAAATGCTTGA